CTTGAGCCCAGGAGTTTGAGGTTGCTGTGAGCTATGACACCATAGCACTCTACCAAGGGTGACAAAGTGAGATTCTGTCTCAAAAAAGAAATAGTTCACACTTTTACTGATAGAACCTTAATGAGGGTAGAGTCTCTGAAATGACCTTCCTTCTTGTCCACTGCAAGGATGACATCCTTTTGGTTCTCTATGACCCTGCCTCTCAGGAAGACAGCCCTTTGTGAGAGGGGGACACTTGTCTTTCAAGGCTGGTGTTTGAGTGTGTGTGCTGGAAGCTTACACCAATGGAATCCCATCTGTTATCCTACCAGATACCGAAGGACTAAGATTCATGACACTAGCACTGTTCCTGAGCCCAGCTGTGAAGTCTGAGGTTTGTAACTAATCCTGTCAAGGATGCCACTGCCTCCAGGAGCTGAGAGCAAAGCCAGAGATAAAGACAGCAATGGAGGCAGGAGAAGGGTCACAGCATTACTGCCCAACTTTTGATCTTCTCACGTAGAGATTAAGCTGCACTAGCAGATAATAAGATAGTCGGGGAAAACCTACACTCTTGGTCAAATTTTTTTCTTCAGGAAACCTTACAAAATCCCTTTTTATCTCCATTAAATCCATCTCATTTCATGGAGGTATCACTGTCACCAAAGGGTAGGTTCATGAATTTATAGCAGACAGAAAGGAGAGTCCACTTCCCTCTCTAGAGCACAATCAAGACACCTAAGTGTCTAGATAAAATGGGAAGATTTGGTACAAAGGTAAAAAACTGAATATAGTTGCTAGAAGAGCATTTAGAAGTTAAAGATACTCGGGCAGCACCTGTGGCTCAGTGGGTAGGGTGCCAGCCCCATATACCAAGGGTGGCGGGTTCAAACCTGGCCTCAGGCAAACTGCAACAAAAAAATAGCTGGGCATTGTGGTAGGTGCCTGTAGTCCCAGCTACTGGGGAGGCTGAGGCAGGAGAATCGCCTAAGCCCAGGATTTGGAGGTTGCTGTGAGCTATGATGCCATGGCACTCTACCGAGGGTGATAAAGTGAGACTCTGTCTCAAAACAAACGAAAAAATAGAAGTTAAAGATACTAATCAAGATCCATCTTCCAAAACTGCTGCCTGAGCCCCAACACTACTCAGCAAGGCAGCCAGGACAGCAGCTACTGCTCACAGGACTGATGATCTCGTTCCAGATGGCAGGATTAGAACAGGAGAGCAGGAGAGAGAAAGGAGGGGGAAGAAAAGTGCTTCCTCCAGCTGTACAGCTGCATGCGCCCACTGCAGAAAGCCTCAGACTCCCACAGAGGGCCTCAGGGTCCTTCTTTTCTGAGGCCAATCCAACCCTGCTGTTGGGTCTTTGTCTCCTACCTGGGTCCAACTTCAGCCGAAACCAGATCTCCAACAGCCAAAGCTATCAGGTAGGAGGGGATGGGCTGACACATCTGGAAGAAGAACTTATTTGGACTTCTCTTTTCCCAGGTGCTAGCACTCATCACAGCTGTGAAGCCATCCGGGACCTGACAACAGAGAAAGCTTAGGAGATTTCACCTGGAGAGACTCTGCTTTCGATTAGCTTGAAGAATAACAATCATCAGCAACCCGCCTAGTAGTGAATAATAATGACCCAGAGTCCATCCTGGAGAACACAAAGGGTTTTTTTTTTTTTTTTTTTTTGAGATACAGTCTTACTTTGTCACCCTCGGTAGAGTGCTGTGGCGTCACAGCTCACAGCAACCTCCAGCTTTTGGGTTTAGGTGATTCTCTTGCCTCAGCCTCCCAAGTAGCTGGGACTATAGGCACCCACCATAACGCCCAGCTATTTTTTGTTGCAGTTTGGCCAGGGCCGGGTTTGAACCCACCAACCACCCTTGGTATATAGGGCCAGCACCCTACCCACTGAGCCACAGGTGCTACCCAGAACACAAAGGTTTTAAGAAACCAGACCTGTGGTAAACTGATAGGATTTAGAGGAAGACTATATAAAATTTCAGTTAGAATTTAAAAGCAAGCAATTGTTTGGAGGTACCACTGGATGGATATAATAATTTACTAACTGAAATGTGACCCAATAGATCTAAAATTACACTCTTAATACCAAGGGCAGGTGCACCTAACCTTAGTCCCCTTACCTCAACAAGAGCTGAATATTTGCACTTCACTGCAGGGGTGTCAAAGCAAGGGAAGAAGGCCCGGTTTAGGACAGCCTGACCTTGGGTGTACACGAAAGGCTTCTTCTTTCCTGCTGTCTGCTCCGGAGCCAACCAGCAAACCTAAGAGAACAGGAAAACATTTCAGAACTGACATCTCTTATATGAACTCAGTCTAGTTAGAGAAAGGAGCCAGCTGCTATGGGGTAATCCTTAAAATGTTTCTGCTACCCAATCTGGCTTTGACTGGACAGTTCTCTTCTCCTGTGCTCATCCTAGAATCCAGGCCAAGGTATGATGTCTACTTTACAAGCCAGAGCCACCACCAAGAGTCCATTCCTCACTTTACCCCATGGATCATCTCAGGAATCCCTGACCTGGCTTCTGACCCTGTCATCTCTCCTCCTCCTGTGCGCTTCTCACTGCAGTGGCTTCTCATCAAACAAACAAATACAGACGCAACCACAGCTGGATAAGACACAGAAAAGCAGGACGTAGCCTGGGAGTCACGCGATAAATGTGTTCTTTATCCCTAAACTTTGCTTTCGCAGAATAAATACCTTTTATATTATAGACATTGGTTATACGATTCTTAATTTGTTTTCCATTAGCCCTTACACCAAAGGCAAATCCGAATGATTATAATGAACTCAATTTTTGCCTACAGCAAAAAGGAGTTTACTTACGATACAGATATAATTGGGGAGGGGGATATGTCAGTAACAAATACTATTTAAAATTTAGAAAAGGATTAGATTATGCCAGGAAGATTTCATAGGGGAAGTAAAACTTTCCAGAAAGCAGAATTTAGATGGTTGGGAAGGAAAGGAGAAGATATTCACAAGGAGACGAGCAGCAACATGAGCAGAGGCAGAAATGGCTGCAGACTCTGAGAATTAGTGGTAGGTTCTAGAGACAGAGTGGTGGGAGGCATGCCAGGGCACGTTTAATGAAGGGCGTTGAACACAGAAGTATCTGAGACCTATTATCAGAGGCTATATATGGAAGCTGCAGTTGGGATGCTGGGTTTTCCTTTGCTTGAGTTGTTTGTGTATGGAAAATTTAATTGGTCTCATTCCCAAGAGTACAGCACTGTTTGGAAAGAGAGGAGGAAAAGTTCACAGTGGAGAAAGCTGACAAACACTACCTCTGCCGGGTGATCGAAGTCAACACTGACGGTCATAAGTCATACGGATACTATGTAATCTCAATACAAAGATGAAAATGGCACTTTACCTCGGTGAATTTCTGTTCAAAAACCCATAATCCCAGTCCAATAAAATAAACACCAGACAAATTCCAATAAAGGGGCATCCTGCAATATACCTGACCAACACTCCTTAAAACTATCAAGGGCATCCAAAACAAGCCAAGTTTGAGAACTGTCACAGCCTCAAGAGGAACGTAAGAAGACATGACAGCTAAATATAATGTGGTACTTCGCATGGGATCCTGGAACAGAAAAAGAAATTTGAAAAACTAAAGACTTCAGTTAGTAACAATGTATCAGTACTGGTTCATTAATTATAACAATGTATCATACTAATATACACATAAAATGGCAGCAAGGGGGAAATTCTGTGTGTTTGTGTATGTGTCTCTTGTGTACAAAGGCAGTACTATATTATATATGAGAACTCTTTGTACTATCCAGTCAATTTTTCTGTTATTATTATTATTTTAATAAAGCCTATTAGGCCAGGTGAGGTGGCTCACGCCTGTAATCCTAGTACTCTGGGAAGCTGAGACGGGTGGGTTGCTTGAGCTCAAGAGTTCAAAACTAGCCTTAGCAAGAGCCAGACTCCCCCTCTACTAAAAATAGAAAACAAAAAAAACTAGTTAGGCATTGTGGCAGGTGCCTGTAGTCCCAGCTACGCAGGAGGCTGAGGCAAGAAGTTCTCTTGAGTCCAAGAGTTTAAAGAATGACACTCAACTCAGGACGACAGAGTTAAGACTCTCTCAAAAAAACAAAAACCCAGCAATGACAACAAAACTCTAAAATAAAGCGTATTAATTTAAAAAAAAGTTGGCACACTTATAGATTACTACTTATAGAGTACACATATAGAGTACACAATTATAGATTACTATGTACCAGCCCCCATACTGGGCACTTAAGTAAAGACAACTCATTTAACTTATTTCAAGCACTGAGATTAGCACTGGCACATCTTAATAAATACTAGCCATCATGTCTGCCATCAAAATTCCTTATCCATTATTTTTCCTGCAGTTTTGTTTGTTTCAGATGACATGTGGCTAATAGAATGAAAGAGCCTGGTAGTACATACTCTTTGAGTGCTACCTACAGCAATGAAGGTGAGAACGGACTGGAATGGGGACAATGAGAAGAGGGGAAGGAATGAGGACCTTCACAGTGCAAAGGACAGCACTTTTGGCTCGGCGCCTGTGGCTCAAGTGGCTAAGGCGCCAGCCACATACACCTAAGGTGGCGGGTTCGAATCCAGCCTGGGCCCGCCAAATAACAATGACG